GAAAACTACCGAAACTCAAGGATATGGGCCTCTTCGGGCTCTCTCGGGGCGCCTCTCGGAACGCTTTGGGGGGCCTCTTGGAACGCTCTGAGGCTGTGTATTGGCCGCGCTGGGCCCATATATGGCCACGTTGGGGCCATCAGGGCCGTCTTGGAGCGCCTCGGAACCTCCCGCTCCCGCTCTGTGGCCCAGCTTGGGCCTGTCCTGGGGCTCTCTTGGGGCTCCTTTTGGGGCCTATTCGGCGGTTTTGGGGCGTTCGGGGCGTATTCGGCCGTCTTCGAGCGTTGGAAGCTCGAGAACGCGAGAAAGCGGAAAACAGTAGAAACAACTGCCCGACATCAAGGATCTGGGCCTCTTCGGGCTCTCTCGGGACGCGTCTCGGAACTCTCCTGGGGCCCTCTTGGAACGCTCTCGGGCTGTGTATTGGCCGTCTTGGGCCCGTCTATGGCCACGCTGGGGCCATCAAGGCCGCCTTGTAGCGCATTGGAACATCCCGCTTCATTTGCTGGGATCCCGGGGGCAGTCTTGGAGCTCTGTCTGGGTGCCTTTTTTCGGCGGTTTTGGGGCGGTCTTGGGGGCGTCGTCGGCTGTCGCGGAGCGTCGAGAGGTCGAAAACGCGAAACACGGAAACACATATAAGAATTACTCACTGCGTGGAGATCCCTATGTGTGCATCTTCTTATATATGTGTGTGTATATATATATATATATAATTGTCAGTGGGATCGGGGAATGCGCGTCTAGCCATGCAACGCAACGCGCGAATAACAAGGTGCAGAAGTGTAGGATTGTGCCAAGGCGAGCGTCTGTCAGTGATACATGTTGTTTAGGTGCGCGTCCATGCGAGCGACGAACGCACGCGCGGGCAGCGAAGCTGTATAAACACCTCATGTAAAAGTTCACTGAAATACATGCGCCTGCGTCTCTTTTCTATATACCGCAAAGACTCCTCCTTTGGCTCCCCGCCCGAAGCACCAGGCGGAGAGCGCGAATGGCAAGCGCTTCAGACGACACTTCAAAATCTGCCCTTCCGCGTGAGCCGCCCACACTCGGCATCGGGTCTAGATGGCAGCGGCAAAGGGAGTCGTTCGCACTTGACGCGCTAAGGGCAAGTTCTACTACTGCCACCCTCGCGGTTTGCGCCTCGGTTTTCGCCGTCCGCACTTGGCATCGGGCGCAGCTTGCAAATTACATATGTTCGCGCATTGGCCGCCCGCCCTTGGAATCGGACCAGGCTTGGCTCAGCGCGAAGGCATGGAAATAACTGAGCGCGGAGACCGAGGGAAAACAAACAAAGAGCCGCCTGCACTGGGCGTCGGGCTCTGCAGCGCAAAGCAAGCGGCAGAAGGATCTGGGCAACAAAAAAGCCGCCGCACTAGGCATCGGGCCAGACAGACTACTGTCCGTCACTCTTCCTCTGGCAGCATTATGCCGTACTCCCCAGCATGTAGGGCGGCTCTCGCCGCCGTCGAGTCCTCAGACGCCGCGAAGCGCTGAAGCGCGCGTTTCACTGACTCTGGCGGACCTCTTTCGAAAAACCAGCGAGGCGGCGGCCGCGCCAGCAACGCGTCCGCCATCCGAGCGGCGCGGGAGAACATCGCGCAGAGGTTCAACCACCAAGTGCCATCGCTGACGCCTCGTCGCCCCTGAGGCGCCTGGCGCGCGCAGTCAATGGTCACTGCGGCGCGCGTCGTCTGCCCTTGCGAGGCAGTCGTCGCCAGGTAGTGCGCGTGCGAGAGCATGAAACCAAACCGCTTCGCGCTGCGCGCCACGGACGAGCCCCCCCAGGTGAAGGTCGTCTCCATCAAGGGCATGCAGAAGAGGCCGCGAGCAATCTTCTCATCTTTGCCGACGTAGTCCATGAAATCTTTCCACGTGGGCGCCTCCGTGAAATCGTCGACATGCAACCAGATGCCAATGGGCGAGCGGCGAGGCCTGAAGAGCTCACCCGGGCCAGCGCTGTTGCATTTTTTTGTTTTTGGTCGCCCTCGTGGAACACGAAGTCGACCATCGTAGCCCGTTGCTCCTGGACCAAGCCACGTTTGCAATTGAAGTTTCCAGTGGAACCAACCCGCATCCCCACGTGGGCGGGCAGCACGCCGTGCATGCGGCCCGCGTTGCAAATTCTTGCGACGTTCAGCATATTGGAATACAACTCCTTGTCTTTGATAGTCTGGCATTCGTCGGCAGCCTGCAGGAAAACCAATGGCACCTCGAGCGCGCGGGCGTCGCGCCGCGCGCGCTTGGTGATCCAGCGGGCCAGAGGCTCCCAGTACATGGCACAGCCGTAACCCTCGAGGAACTCCGTCTGCGCGTGTCGCGGGTCCAGCTCCGGGCTCGCGTCGGGACGGCTGTCTTTCGCAAAACTCGCCTCGAAGGCCCGCCCGCCTGACAGGATCGGGAATCGGTTTGCCCTGCCGCATGCAGCTCACGAACTCAATGAGGGGATCGCCCTTGACGAAGCGCTTCGTTCCTTGGAGCTCGATGACACAGGTGATCCTCCTGAAAACCTTGAGAGCGTTCTGAATCTCAAGCGAGGGCGGCTCCGAGAGCACGTAGTTGCCGTCCTCGTCTTTCTCGTTGGGATCTGTCACGAGGGTGAGCTGCGCAGTCGGTGTCAACTGCAGAAAGTCGCCAAGGTGGATGACGATCGGGCACCTACCAAAGCTGCACCCTGGTTTCTTATAGTTTCCCTCCGAGACATCGTGGGACTTGGTGCGCCCACACATGGCGCGGAAATCAAGCATGTTGTAATTTGCGGCGGACACCATGCTCACCTCTTCGATGACGGGCCAAGAAAGCAACATCCCACGGTGACACAAAATCTGCGCCAGCAACACCCGGTCACTCCTCCTTGATCGCCGTGCGCGGCAAGGGGAGCCACTTGGGACACAAGGCAAAAACAGAAAACAAGCAAACCGCTTGAGACATCCCCACAGAATCGCCACGAACGGAGCCTTGAAAACACCCTTGGCGGTTCCCCCCTAAGGGTGCTGAAACCAGCGCCCCGCCTGAGACATCCGCACAATCTACTCTGGTAGCCAAGGATGTTGAGACAAAGAACGATCAAACCGCTTGAGACATCCCTACAAAACGGCCGCGAACGGGACCGTGAAATCACCCCTGGCGGCTCCCACTAGGGGTGCTGAAACCAGCGCCCCGCAATTCTGAGTATGAGTTCGTCTGGGTATGAGTGAGTCTCAGCATGAGCAAGTCTGAGTAGGAGTAGATCTGAGTACGAGTAGGTCTGAGTATGAGTCAGCTTGTTTCTATTCGCATGGACCTGTCCGCCGTGAGTGTCTAGGCGCAAGAGCTTTCGAATATAAACAGGCTTCAGTTGTGACGGTCTGGCCATGAATCTAGCTGAGAATGAATTGGAATGTGAATAAGCCTCAGTAGTACGAACGCGCTTCTGCGCATGAGCCTGGGTCCTCCTGGGGCCTCCTGGGGCCTCCTGAAACCTACTGGGGTTTCCTGGGGCCTCCCAGAGCCTCTTGGGGTCTCCTGGGGCCTCCTGGGACCTCCTGGGACCTCCTAGGGAGGATTCGTGCCCCAGGGGAGGCCCAATCTATAGCAAGCGACGTGCATACAACATTGCGGATTGGAGCCGGAGAAGGGGGCAATCTACAGGGAAGCTGGAAAGAGTAGAAGTTGGAAATTCCTTAAAAGTATCCTCGTTGACTGGGTAAAATCGCATCTGGCCGAGGCCATTGGTAGGAAAAAATATTCGGGGCAGCGAGGCAACCGTTGGAAAGAATGGCCAGGCCGCGGGAAAAAATAGAAGGAAGGCTGCACTTGAAAATAACTACGTCGCGCAACGCAGACGCCCATCAACGAACAGCACGTCTGGACACGTCGAATTGCTCAGGCCAGCGCCGGAAACACTACGAGTGGCCAGCGCGGAAAAACGCGCCACGCGTTGCATCATCTGGACACCAGAAAGGAATAATTTCACGCGCTGCGGCCTCAGGGCAGCTCACGACGATCTTTCCAGCGCTTCGCCTCTGTTACTTTTCCCAGCAAGGGCCTCCGCACTCTTTCAAGCGAGCCCCGCAAAATCCAACGGAGGGCCAACGCATTAAAAACCATTGGGGCGCCCGCCGGAAAAACAAAGAGCGCGCACCGCTGATTCCGTCGATGGCCGAAGGCCATCGTCGGAAAAACTGCCCGCGTGCATTGCGCGATGACGTGCGACCAACTAGGACGCACGGCGAGGCATTGCGTTGGAAATAATAGACGTTGGAAAAACTGTTTGGTTGGCATGGGTATTTCGCAAGAGGGGCGGGGCCAGCGTTGAAAATAGGCAAAAGCTGAAAAGAGTAGAAGGGCCAGCCCCAGACACTCTTTCCAGCTTCCCTGTATAGAAACACGCGTAAAACACCAAGGACTCGTGGACCAGGAGAGGCCTGGTAGGAACAGAAGTACACAGGAGAAGGACAATATATAGAGACATACGTATAACATTAAGGATTCGTTCTCCAGGTGAGGCCCAATCTATAAGAGCATACGTGAACGACGACACGACAGGGAAGACGGACAGCCACTCCCGCCCCAAGGCGGCGAACGCAGGGGAAGAATCCCTGCGCCGCCCTGGGGGAGGCCCCGGACCTGGCTGCCCCCCCATAGGAAGGGGACCCCGCTTATGGGGGCCGTCCCAGGGGAGCGGGGGCTTTTCGCCCCTCGGGCCCGGCGCTCCCCGCCTGCGCCAGGAGGACCCTGGGGTCCCGACCCCTCCCCTACGGGAAGGGCCCCCTCGTGGCAGGAGGAGGAGGAAGAGGAGGAGAAGGAGGAGGAGGAGGAGGAGGAGGAGGAAAAGGAGGAAGAAGAAGAGGAGGAGGAGGAGGAGGAGAGAGAAGGGTGGCCCGGAGGGCGGCCTGACCGACCCACTTTCGGCCTACCGAGGAGGATGACAGCGGCAGCATCAACAGCAACAGCAGCAGCAGCAGTGGCGGCGGCCGCGGCGGCAACGGCAGGGAGATCGCGCGCGGCACGCGGCACGCCTCCTTTGGGGGAGCCTCCCTCGGAGGCGGTTCCCTCGGAGGCGGCTGGCCCGTGAGGAAGCCCGGCGCCGGCCAAGCGGCAGGGGGGGGCTCGCTGGGCGACGACTGCTGCCGCTGCAGGGCCGCGGCGATCCGGGCCATCTCCAAGCCAATACCCACGTGCTCCTGCGGCATGCTGGGCTCCAGTACCCATGAGGCGGCCGCCTCCTCCTACTCCTCCTCTCTTTCTGGCACAAGGACTGGTACCGCCTCGCGGCCAGCAGTCTAATCACAACCACCGTGAGCCCTTACCCTCAACTGCTCTGCAGGCGCAGCTCTGCAGTTGGCCACACCCAACAAAGAAGACATGCCAAACATAAACATGCACAAACATTGAATGTTTGCCAGCGTGGACCACAAACAGTGAACTATTGAACTGTGGACGTGTCAACTATGTGGTGTAACATCTGTGGTGTTCTCTGCGTGCTGTGACTTATTCAACGTAAGCTATGTGATCTAGGCCACCTGGTGCAAGCTATGTGGTGCAATCTACTTTGACTGCCTGGAAGCTGTCCTCTCCACTGCTCGTGCAAACATCCCACCCACGCACGCGCAACTTGGTTTGCAAAACCTCTTAAGACCGACTACGACGACACCGACGACAACGACTACGACTACGACGACACCAACGACGTCTCCGACGACTTCGACGACGACAACGACGCCGACGCCGACGACGACGAAGGCGACGACGACGTCGCCAACGAAGACGACGACGAGGGAGGAGGAAGGACGACGACGGCGACTTTGACGACAACGACGACAACGACGAGGGAGGAGGGAGGACGGCGACGACGCGAATGACGAAGAAGGAGGAAGGACGGCGACGCCGACGACGACAACGACGAGGGAGGAGGGAAGACGACGACGACAACGACGACGACGACGGCCACGAAATAGGAGGGACGACGACGAGATGCCGACGACGGACGACGACGACGACGACGAGGGAGGAGGAGAAAGGACGACCACGACGACAACGACGACGGAAACAACCACGACGCCAAGGAGGACGACGACGACGAACACGAGGAAAAACAGAGGACGACGTAGGCGACGACGACGACGACGACGCGGGAGGAGGGAGAACGGCGACGACGACGACGACGACGACGCAAGAGCGCGCGCGCACGCTTTTGTTGAAAATACGTGTTGCGAGACCTTGGGTTTTTGTAGGTTTTTTGGACGCACGATTTTGAAATCCTTCCGAAACCGATGGGTTTTGAAGGTTTTCGGCATACGCCCGCGACAACGCGCGCGTCTGCACTTCGTCCCATTTTTTGCAGAGGATTCTCGCGACGGCACACGCGCAAGGGCGTTCGACAGATTTCGACATGCGCGCGCGAAGCCCGTTTGGTAGCATTTTGTGAAAATCTTGAAAAACCTATGGTTTTCTTAAGATTTCGCACGTGCTTGTGCGGAAGTTTTTTTAGCAAATCAGTGTTGCGAAACCCTGTGTTGTTGTATGTTTTGTTTTGAAACTCGATTGCGAAATCCTTCCGGCACCGAAGGCTTTTGAAGGATTTCGGCATGCGCGCGCGACGACGCGCGCGTGCGCACTTCGTCAATTTTGTTGTAAGGGATTCGCGAAAAAGTGCTATGCTAGGACCCAAAAATATTTTTTCAAGGGAACCTCAAGGGGGGAACCCCGCCCCCCTGGGATAGTGCAAATTCATACTTAGGATGGACATGTGGTCATAATCATATACGATTTACATACCCGAGAAAGACAAGCTATGCGGTGTATTCTATATGGTGCAGTCCACTCTGCTGAACTTGAAGTCGTCCTCACCACTGCTCACGCAAACATCCCACCCACCCACCCGAACCCGCAACTTGGTTTGCAAAACCTCTGAAGACCGACTGCGACGACGACGACGACAACGACTAGGACGACACCGACGACGTCTCCGACGACTTCGACGACGACAACGACGCCGACGCCGACGACGACGAAGACGAGGACGACGACGCCAACGAAGACGACGACGAGGGAGGAGGGAGGACGACGACGGCGACAACGACGACAACGACGACAACGACGAGGGAGGAGGGAGGACGGCGACGACGCGAACGACGACGAAGGAGGAAGGACGGCGACGCCGACGACGACAACGACGAGGGAGGAGGGAAGTCGACGACGACGACGACGACGACGACGGCGACGAAATAGGAGAGACGACGACGAGACGCCGATGACGGACGACGACGACGACGAGGGAGGAGGAGAAAAGACGACCACGGCGACAACGACGACGGAAACGCCCACGACGCCAAAGAGGACGACGACGACGAACACGAGAAAAGACAGAGGACGACGTAGGCGACGACGACGACGACGCGGGAGGAGGGAGGACGGCGATGACGACGACGACGACGACGACGACGCAAGAGCGCGCGCGCGCACGCTTTTGTTGAAAATACGTGTTGCGAGACCTTGGGATTGTGTAGGTTTTTTGGACGCACGATTTTGGAATCCTTCCGAAACAGATGGGTTTTGAAGGTCTTCGGCATACGCCCGCGACGACGCGCGCGTCTGCACTTCGTCCCGTTTTTTTGCAGAGGATTCTCGCGACGGCACGCGCGCAAGGGCGTTCGACAGATTTCGACATGCGCGCGCGCGAAGCCCGTTTGGTAGCAGTTTGTGAAAGTCTTGAAAAACCTATGGTTTTCTTAAGATTTCGCAAGAGCTCGCGCGGAAGCTTTTTTAGCAAAGCAGTGTTGCGAAACCCTGTGTTTTTGTATGTGTTTTGGAAACTCGATTGCGAAATCCTTCCGGCACCGAAGGCTTTTGAAGGATTTCGGCATGCGCGCGCGACGACGCGCGCGTGTGCACTTCGTCCCATTTTTTGCAAGGGATTCGTGAACAAGTGTTATGCTAGAGCAAAAAATGTCACCGCATAGTGTTTTTTTACAAGGGAACCTCACGGGGGGGGGGAAACCGGCCTGGCTGGGATGGTATGATCTCATATTTAGGATGGACGAGTGTGCAGAAAATATATGAAATCATACTATTCCAAAGGGAACCGATAAGTCCGGGGGGGGGGTAGAGTTTATTCTCTTTTTAGAAAGGAGAACTGACTACCCTGCACCGCGCTTGACCACTCCACTGCTCGCGCAAACATCCCACCCACCCACCCGCAACTTGGTTCGCAAAATCTCTTAAGACCGTGACGGCGGGTACCTAATGGCACTTGCCAACGACAGCGACGCCGACGACGACAGCGACAACGACGACGACGACGCCGCCGACAACAACTACGACTACGACGACACCGACGGCGTCTCCAACGACTTCGACGACGCCGACAACGACGACGACGACGACGACGACGATACCGACGACGACGCCGACGCCGACACCGACGACGACGACGACGACGGCGGCGACGACGACGACGCCGACAACGACGACGCCGACGACGACGACGACGACGTCAACGACGCCGACGACGACGACGACGACGACGACGGCGGCGACGACGACGCCGACAACGACGACGAAGACGACGACGACGACGCCGACGCCGACGACGACGACGAAGACGACGACGACGTCGCCAACGAAGACGACGACGAGGGAGGGAGGACGACGACGGCGACAACGGCGACAACGACGACAACGACGAGGGAGGAGGGAGGACGGCGACGACGCGAACGACGAAGAAGGAGGAAGGACGGCGACGCCGACGACGGCAACGACGAGGGAGGAGGGAAGACGACGACGACGAACGACGACGACGACGACGACGACGAAATAGGAGGGACGACGACGAGACGCCGACGACGGACGACGACGACGACGAGGGAGGAGGAGGAAGGACGACCACGGCGACAACGACGACGGAAACAACCACGACGCCAAAGAGGACGACGACGACGAACACGAGGAAAGACAGAGGACGACGTAGGCGACGACGACGACGACGACGACGACGCGGGAGGAGGGAGGACGGCGACGGCGACGACGACGACGACGCAAGAGCGCGCGCGCACGCTTTTGTTGAAAATCCGTGTTGCGAAACCTTGGGTTTTGTAGGTTGTTTGGACGCGCGATTTCGAAATCTTTCCGAAACCGATGGGTTTTGAAGGATTTCGGCGTACGCGCGCGACCACGCGCGCGTCTGCACTTCGTCCCATTTTTTGGAGAGGATTCTCGCGACGGCACGCGCGCAAGGGCGTTCGACAGATTTCGACATGCGCGCGCGAAGCCCGTTTGGTAGCATTTTGTGAAAATCTGGGGGAAAAAAAAACCTATGGTTTTCTTAAGATTTCGCACGTGCTCGCGCGGAAGCTTTTTTAGCAAATCAGTGTTGCGAAACCATGTGTTTTTGTATGTGTTTTGGAAACTCGATTGCGAAATCCTTCCGGCACCGAAGGCTTTGAAGGATTTCGGCATGCGCGCGCGATGACGCGCGCGTGTGCACTTCGTCTCATTTGTTGCAAAGGATTCGTGACAAAGTGTTATGTTAGAACAAAAAATGTCACCGCATAGTGTTTTTCTCAAGGGAACCTCAGGGGGGGAACCCGGCCCCCCTGGGATAGTGCAAATTCATATTTAGGATGGACATGCGGTCAGAATCGTATACGATTTACATACCCGAAAGGGGGACCGATAACGCCAGGGGGGGGTTAGAGTCTATTCTCTTTTTAGAAAGGAGAATCGATGTGATGTGCGATCAATGGCGTAAGCTATGTGGCGTAGGGGATGTGGTGCAAGCTATGCGGTGTATTCTATATGGTGCAGTCCACGTGGTCCAACACTTGTGGTGTGAGATATGTGGTGCACGCTGCGAGGTGCAAGCAAAGTTGCGTGGCGTAAGGTGCGCGGCGCCCACGAGGCGCCCTCGGCCGCCCACCAGGCAAAACATCGCCACCCATCCAATCCCTTGTGAAGCGGAGCATAGAACCCATACGTACAAACACTGCTTGGGTCAGAAGCTTCCCGCCGTTGCGGGATGGGATAGACCAGAAGCCTCACGTCCTCGTCCACGGATGCTCCCTTCCCTGCTCCTCCTCCTCCCTCCTCTTCCTCCTCCCTCCTCCTCGTCTGCCTTCTTCCTGCTCCCCCTCCCTCCTCCTCGTCCTCGGCCCATGCGGTGCCCGCGCCCCTGCCCCGTCCACTC